GTGTGTGTGTGTGTGTGTGTGTGTGTGTGTGTGTGTGTGTGTGTGTGTGTGTGCGTGCGTGTGTGTTTGCAGGTACAATCACCTCATAGAGCTGGTTGAGCATTTCTTCCCCATGCTCTTCACTGAAGGCAGCACTTCCTCTGTTCTCGACTGTCCTGAGTACAGCAGTTTCTCCTACTGGAAGGAGCCTCTGCCGGACGTGGATCTGGACAGTGTGCTCTAACCTCACTGAAACTTCACACACACACAAGTCCTGCACGTTTATGTTTTTACCAGCAGGGTTAGCAGCGCTCAAGAAATCATCCTGTGTCACTAATTAGTGCCTAAACTGTGCAAATGCCTTACCTGAGCTGGAAGAAATTCCATCTGCACCCAAACTGTGTTGTTTGTTGTGTGAAATTTAGCCTTTTTTTTAATTCGTTTACCAAGAAACTACATTTGGTTTGAAGACATGTTAGGATTTTTATTTGTTTTAATAGTCAACGCACCAGATACGTGAGCTTTCTTCACACTGGGCCGTCTATAGTTTTTACACAAGTGTTGTGAATCTGCATTTCAAATTATTTGCTCTGGGAGGGGGGAGCTAGATTTTAAATGAGCTGACTGCAGGTCAGGTACTGTTAGTATTTTCTTTAACTACTGAATCGAACGATACAACGGTTGATGTGATTCCACATTAGTTGTGTGCTTTCAAGTACCACATGAAATAAATAAAATCTTTTTACACTACACAAGCAAGCAGCTGCATCAGAATTTTATTCCAGGTGACAACGGTGAGCTTTTGAGGTGGTTTACTGCCTTTTGGAGACTTACTGTTTTATTTATTTACTGTGCAAGTTTTTATCATTTAGCTATGAGGACACTCACGCACAGAAATAAAAATGAATTCCAAACAAGCTCGTGTTTGACTTTCAAACATAGTATGAGTTATTGCTTTTTTATTATTATTATATACAATTTTATTTCCACTAAAAAAATTACTGGTGGTCTGTTGTTGGAAATATTACCTGTTTTTTTTTTATGGGTCCACCAAAAGCGTGGATTATTTCGCAGTTGCACTCGTTTTGCTTGAGCAACGGTTCAAAATCAATAAGCTCATTGCTCACTGGCAGGTGGTGGTTCACACTTACATGATTCAATTATAAGCTATGTGTGTTTTACAGAAAGAGTAGGATGAAATGTATATGACTTCTGGCATCACTGCAATGTGTCCCAGCTGTACACTGGGTGGACAGTGGAGCATGTGGACACTTCTCTATCATCCACCCACTTCACAAACACTTCACATCTCTGATCCACCAGATACTGCCTCATGTAGGACACCAGCTCTTAACTGGCTGCCTGTTTGTCCCACAAGCTCAGAATCCCTGCTGGCTCAGTTTTTTTTTTTTTTTTTTTTTTTTTGAAGAGAAAACCTCTGTAGACCATATCAGGTCGTTTTTATTGTCCAAATCAATGAAAACATCAAAAGAAAGCCCCTTCCGTGATGATGCTGTCTTGAACTTGNATAGTTGAGGTCTACCTATGATGTCAATTACAGGCCTTTCTCATCTTTTTAAGTGGGAGAACTTGCARAATTGGTGACTGACTAAATACTTATTTTCCCCACTGTATATATAAAACACGGGCCGCAGCGATGCAAAACCTAAGATAACACAAAGAAGAAAACGGTAATGTTCCCTGACCGGGAATCGAACCCGGGCCGCGGCGGTGAGAGCGCCGAATCCTAACCACTAGACCACCAGGGATGTTAAAAACGGAAAACAGCAGAAAACATTTGGAAGGACGTGACAGGCGTACTGAGTTATCATATTACACATAAACACAAAGACCGTGAGAGGTATGTTGCAACATGGTGGTGTTTTATCTGCAGAACCGCATGAACGGAGACGATAAACGGTCTTTATGACCGGTATTACACCATATACTGTAACCACGGGCGCCGGACCGGTCTGTGCGCTCTGTTATCCTTATCTCAATCTGTGTTCGAGTCTACACGGTGACAGCAGGTAAGAAGCGCGTTAGCTCTCGCTTTTACCCTTGAAAATATAAATATGTTTCTGTTTATTAAGCTCTCTGTTTGTTGCCGAACCGCTGGGGTGCAGGTGAGGCTATTACTTGCTTATAACGAGAGAAAACACTCATTAAGTGTAATTATATAATGACGTGTTTCAAAAGTAGAAGCAAACGCCTTCTAAAAAAAAAAAAAAAAAACCTGTTCCCCGGAAACTGAAACTCAACAAGTGGTATATGCGCACTGAGTGACGCAGGGTAATTTCAGATAGTTTAACCTTCTTTTTGTATATACATTATGTAATTACTCGAGTTTTCTCTTARAATACATGATATAATACTGTATTATAACGTATCTGTAGTCTGTTAACATGCTGACCTGTCATTTTATCCGTTTTTAGCAGAAGCTTCGCTTCGTGTTGTGGTGACTCTTACCAAAAATAGTAATGCAAGTGTCCTTTTGTTCTAATTTTAAACTAAAAACTAAGAGTGCATTCAGTTTATTTCTTATGCAGGGTACTTATCAGAGATTTAACAAAGTTTATGTTACATATAGGCCTACTTGGCTTATACTAAGCCAGGGGTCCTTAAACTTTTTGACCTCGAGGCAATTTGTTGAACATAAAGTGACACGAGGCCCAGTCAGACATTACCAATGTATGGATCAAAATGATTATTATTCTAATCTAAGTCTTGGTTTAATCTTTATTGTATTTACATCATAACTAAACTATCACAACTAAAATAACTAAATTAAATACACTTACAGTTTAAAAGTAAAACTCATGTCAAATAATCACAAGACTTGATTATAACAAACATTTTATACATATTGTAACCTGCCCATAACAATTATTTGAACAAATACAAAGGTCAGTCAACAGACCACTCAGGCTTATCAACAAAAAATATATATGTATTTTTTTATTTAAACACTTATCAAACATAGGCAATTCAAACAAATAAAATAAAACTGTGGGCATAAAATAAATAAATTAAAAATGTTTAATGTAAATGTTTCAAATTAAAAAAACTGTAAAAATAAATTTGATAAAGTACAAATGAAAATAAAACCTTTTAAAACTTTTGTAACCAGAAGCTGCTCTTCATATTAGTGACAAACAATAACAGTAACAACAGCTTTTTGACTAGTTTCTTTAAAATACATTCAAAATGTTTAAAAATAAACTACAACAATTAATTTAAAGTGCAAATGAAAATGTAGTTGTATCTGCAACTGCATATGATAATGTTTTGAATGTTTTAAATATTTCGTGGTAAAAACAGAAGCTGCTCTTCATATTAGTGACAAACTTTGGTGTTTTTTTATATTTTGATGGGTTACTTTCATTTTTGCTTCTACTTTTATAGGTTTCCATTCTCGGCAGGTTTCTGATGTTCTTCTTCTACATATTTAAAAAAGTTGTTAAACATCTGAGTGGTACACTACTGCTACTAGTGGTGGGAAAGTGTATTGCACCTTATTCAAAATGAATGCGGTTCCACGGCCCTCAGCTGCCCAAAGTTAAAAACTGTTGTTCTTTTGAGGCCCTCGAGGTGGCGCTCACGGCCCACGATAGGGCCGTGGCCCTATGAGTTAAGAATCTTTATATTTTCCCCCTAATTGGATAAATATATACTTAGGTATACTTAATGGCATATTCTTGAGGTATACCTCTTTTTGGTAGGGGGGGATCATGTTGATTACTTCCATGATTTACTTTTTTTTTTTTTAGCAGAAAACAATTACAATATATTTTACAACACAAGGATATCATTTTCTCAAGTTTAAAATTGGTTCATCCTTTTTAAAGTAAGATTTAAATCAACTTACAAATTTGGTTTGGCTTATCTTTTAGAAAAAGAAGAGGAAAAAAATTTTTTTTAATTGCATTGCATTCTTCAAAAAATAAAACAGGCCTAGTATTGTTTTTGAAAAAATAATATTACCCACCACTTTTTATGCCAAAGTTCTAGACTGAGATCATCTTCTAATGAGAAATAAAACTGTTGTGAGATCTGTTTGTTCTCAGAGTATTTGTTAGGATTGAGTTTTAGTGATTACGGTAATTAGATTTTATGTTAACACTATAGACAACATACGGTACATATAAACCTAATATGTAAAAACAGCTTCTGCCTCTGGGTGGCACACAATWAAAAAATATAAAGGTTTCTTTGTTTTATCATAAAAACTTGATTTTAGTCTGGGCAAAGACATTTTAAATGTTGAAACCCAGTTTGTTTTGTGTTTCAGGAGGTTTCCACCATCATGTCTGTGTTTGAGGACGAAGCAAGTGTTTCAGTAAAGGCTCATCCTGAAGCCTTGGCCTTGGAGCTCACATGCCCCATGTGTTTGCAGCTGTTCACGGAGCCTGCGTCTCTTCCCTGCGGTCACATCTTCTGCTTCGGCTGCCTTCGGACCATGGGAGAGGGCCTGGACCAACACAGCTGCCCAGAGTGCCAGGCTGAGTACCGCGGAGCCACGGATCTCGTGAAGAGCCGTAAGATGCGCAGCATCGTGGAGACCTACAGAGCCACCGCTGAGAACGTCCTCTCCACTGCAGTCCACTCCGACGTCTGCCGCGGAGGGGTCGAGGGGAGCTGTGTTGTGGACAAAACAGACACAACACGTCTGTGTGACACAGCAACAGCAGGGGAGAGCCGAGAGGATGGAGCAGCAGAACACGAGGCAAAGCAAGGCTTTAGGACTGGGTCTGGACCTGCACAGCACCCAAATAGTTTGGCTCAAGCAAAAAGCAGCAAAAAGACAGAAGACATGACTGAACCCAAGATAAAACTAGCCTCTCAGGTCAATTACTTGAACTCCAAGTTGGAGTTGGCAGAGAAAGTCCTGAGAAGAGAAGAAGAATTGGAATGTGGCGCGAGCGCTGCTAATTCTCAGCTGAGGGAGAAGGTCTCCGGTCTGCTGGAACAGATGAAAGATCTGGCTCAGAGCTACACGGAGCAGGTGATGCAGATGATCAAGGAGGAGTTAGGTCCGAGCGAGGCTGGGATACACCGCCGAGTCAGTCAAGCCTCCGAGTGGGTGAAACAGCTGAAAGAGGCGGTACTCAGTTCTGAATCTCTGCTGGCTGAAGAAGACGAGGCAGCTTTTAGTGCCGAGCTTCAGAGGCTACAGCCGGCCGTTGAGAATTTACTGGCAGAGCCACTGAGAGGAGACGAGGTGGAAACGAGCGTCAACCCAGCTCAAGCTTGTTCCAAGCTGGAGAACATGAACAGTGAGCTGAGAGAACAGCTAGGACAGATTCAACGCTCGGTCCGGAACGCCCTCAACCCYTCAGAGGTGACCTTTGACCCAGAAACCGTCCACCCGAACCTCCTCCTCTCAGAGGACTTGAAGACGGTGACGTTCAGCGCTGTAAAGCAGCCTTACCCGTCTTCTCCGCAAAGGTTCACCAACTTCTTCCAGGTCCTCAGCTCGCAGAGTTTCTCAGAAGGTGAACACCGCTGGGAGGTGGAGCTCGAAGGCTCTCCGTGGATCGTCGGCGTCTGCTACGGTGGGAAGCTGCCACGCAGCGGCCTGCCGTCCGCCCTGGAGAGCAGCCAGAGCTCCTGGTGTCTGATGTGGTTCAACAACCTGCTGACTGCTTTTGAGCAGGGCCACAGCGTGCCACTGAAGAGGACCACAGTGTCTRGCAGGCTTGAGATCAAGCTCAGCTTCAAAAACCAGAGTCTGAGCTTCTGTAACATCAGCCCCACCAGTGGAAAAACTCACATCTACACGTTCAYCAATAAGCTAAACGAACCAGTGCATGTTGCCTACAGGATGATGACKGGGCACCCCAACGCCCGTGTCACCGTTTATTCATAATCACAGCTTTTCAAAATGTCTGAAAGGGGAAAAAATAAAAAAATAAATGAAGTCAAAATACTCTAGCAGAGACTTGATTTGTGTAAATGACTGTCTTTATCTTGCTCTAGGTTCTTATTTCATGATATTATTGTAGAAATATAAGTGTGACTGAAAAACTTGTTTCAGTTTTCAAACATAATGCTTACAGTTATATGCAATAAACTCAATYTCAACCATTTTATTTCCATAAAATATTTATTCTAGCCACAATCGTTTCACAATTCAGTTAAAATTGTGTTAATTTGTATTTTCACTTCGTTTTACAAATGCAATGCTTTATTTAAAGTCTTGCATTGCATTTTTT